TAAAATTACTTCAACCATAAAATAATGTCGCAAAAGGCGAAATGTTTCACAGCAATTCCCTGTATCCAAACGCAGCTCCTTCGAACGCATTTTCACGGGCCATCGATCAATAAATTATCAAGAAGGGACTTCAGTTATCAACATTAGATCTCGATAAGATGTATCGAGATCTAATGATCTCGATCAGTTTCGTGTCATTCCCTTATGTGTATGGATAATTTTCATAATTCTCCATAAAATACTCGAAACGAGCGTAAAAGCATAAAAAGCTAAAAAAAAGATAAATAATTCCATAGCACGTTGGATCGATTGTTACTCTAATCGGCCGCACGGCAAGAAACCACGAATTATATACGTCGTTCTTGATGGATTAATTCAAACATTAAATCCATTTCGAACATTTCTAAATGACAGTGAGCACTATACAGGATGTCCCAAAGATGTCTCGCAATCGGGAAATGGCGGGTTCCTCGAATCCGTGGAAGATCTGATTTCACGAATTTTTCCAAAGCAGTGCAAATTCTCTTTGCACGTAAAGACAGCATATGGAAGCTAATAAATAATTGTATGTGAAATAATAAATGTTTATCGAAGGAGATTATTGTAAGGAGACTGTGAAGGTAATTGCATTCATCTGGAAATGTCAGGTTCCTCGGATCATTCGAAGCAACTTTTTCCTTTACAAAAATGTTCTCCGACGCACCGTTAACGCTGTCTCTTATACACATCTAGATGTGTATAAGAGACAGGTTCCACAGGGTGTCCCAGAAATGTCTCGCGATCCGAAAGCGGCGGGTTCCTCGGATCATTCGAAGCAACTTTTTCCTTTGCAAAAATGTTCTCCGACGCACCGTTAACGCTGTCTCTTATACACATCTAGATGTGTATAAGAGACAGGTTCCACAGGGTGTCCCAGAAATGTCTCGCGATCCGAAAGCGGCGGGTTCCTCGGATCATTCGAAGCAACTTTTTCCTTTGCAAAAATGTTCTCCGACGCACCGTTAACGCTGTCTCTTATACACATCTAGATGTGTATAAGAGACAGGTTCCACAGGGTGTCCCAGAAATGTCTCGCGATCCGAAAGCGGCGGGTTCCTCGGATCATTCGAAGCAACTTTTTCCTTTGCAAAAATGTTCTCCGACGCACCGTTAACGCTGTCTCTTATACACATCTAGATGTGTATAAGAGACAGGTTCCACAGGGTGTCCCAGAAATGTCTCGCGATCCGAAAGCGGCGGGTTCCTCGGATCATTCGAAGCAACTTTTTCCTTTGCAAAAATGTTCTCCGACGCACCGTTAACGCTGTCTCTTATACACATCTAGATGTGTATAAGAGACAGGTTCCACAGGGTGTCCCAGAAATGTCTCGCGATCCGAAAGCGGCGGGTTCCTCGGATCATTCGAAGCAACTTTTTCCTTTGCAAAAATGTTCTCCGACGCACCGTTAACGCTGTCTCTTATACACATCTAGATGTGTATAAGAGACAGGTTCCACAGGGTGTCCCAGAAATGTCTCGCGATCCGAAAGCGGCGGGTTCCTCGGATCATTCGAAGCAACTTTTTCCTTTGCAAAAATGTTCTCCGACGCACCGTTAACGCTGTCTCTTATACACATCTAGATGTGTATAAGAGACAGGTTCCACAGGGTGTCCCAGAAATGTCTCGCGATCCGAAAGCGGCGGGTTCCTCGGATCATTCGAAGCAACTTTTTCCTTTGCAAAAATGTTCTCCGACGCACCGTTAACGCTGTCTCTTATACACATCTAGATGTGTATAAGAGACAGGTTCCACAGGGTGTCCCAGAAATGTCTCGCGATCCGAAAGCGGCGGGTTCCTCGGATCATTCGAAGCAACTTTTTCCTTTGCAAAAATGTTCTCCGACGCACCGTTAACGCTGTCTCTTATACACATCTAGATGTGTATAAGAGACAGGTTCCACAGGGTGTCCCAGAAATGTCTCGCGATCCGAAAGCGGCGGGTTCCTCGGATCATTCGAAGCAACTTTTTCCTTTGCAAAAATGTTCTCCGACGCACCGTTAACGCTGTCTCTTATACACATCTAGATGTGTATAAGAGACAGCGTTAACGGTGCGTCGGAGAACATTTTTGCAAAGGAAAAAGTTGCTCCAAATGACCCGAGGAACCCGCCGCTTTCGGATCGCGAGACATTTCTGGGACACCCTGTGGAACTCGCTGTCGGTTCGATTGGCAAAGCGAGGCTCGCCTCGCAACTTCCTTGGCAGAAGGCGAAGTAGGCTTTTTTATCCACGCGATGGCCGTCTCCGCGGGATTTTCCTGTCGCGATCACCTGCAGACCCTGACTCGCGATCGAAAGTCCAGAAAAACATGAACGAGCCTCGGGTTGTCGGGTTCGTTGAGCGCGCGAGAGGCCGCGATACAACAATGCAGCTTGTATAACACACGATCCGCGTGTCGGCCACGGAATTCGTTCATGCAGCGTTACGTAGAGGCGGTCTACAATGTGCGGAGAGGCCGTCACGTGTGTTTGATATGCCATCGACCTACATGCGCTCCGGATCGACTCTACATATAACACCGGGCATCGAATCCACCGAACTCGAACGACGGTCGATCGAGATCGTCTCACCGGCGGCGGCATAGTTTTAGTCATGTGTTCCTCGAATTAGAATAACATTACACAATCGGATCGTCGCCGACCGACCCGCGCCGTCCAATTCGGAAGGCGAGAGCCCCGCGACGGAGACCCGCTGATTTTCAATTTATCGGCGAAATCGAAAACGGCTGAGTCACGATCGTTCAACGACTCATTGTGTACACCATTTTTATTGCCGTTCGCCCATATAAGATAGCTAACACCTCGCGCTCGTTAATCGATGTTTGTGCACGCGTGCTCGCGTGTAAACGTACTCTTACATGTATATTTGCTCGCCTTGCTTGTTCGCGCTTGCTCGGCCGAGGAACGAACGAACGGAGAAGAGAAGCGCGAAATCGGCTTCGGCGCAACCGATGCGCTTATAAACGAACAAGCCGCGAGTAATCGCGCGGCTCGATCGCGTTCGCCCCGATTGCCGGCGCTAAAGTATATCACACCTACGGCCGCGCGATAGCGGTCGCGAATTCGCTTATTCGGGTTATCTACCGTGTTGGAATCGAAATGGATTCCATTCGATTTATACACCTCGGCCGATCGATTTATGGATAATCGCCCGAAAATAAAGCCTAGTTAACAACGGGTCGGGACGTGACGTCGACGACGAAGAAAAAAAAGAAAGAACAGGAGCCTCGACACGGACGCATTTCCTTCCTGAAAATTAGTTGATAAGACCGATCGGAACTCGACTCCGGTCACGTACGACGCCTCTACGATAGCTGAACAGGCCGAACGATTCTAAGAAACGTCGTGTCTCGGTGTATCGGTGCATCTCGTAAAATAAAGTGTCAGCTTGCTTTTGAAAAAGTCCGATCCGGTTATCTCTGCTAATTCCGATTTATGCAACGGACGCGAACATGCTCGAAATTTTCTCGATCACTGTCGCTGTCATCTTCTCGCTCGCGATATTTACAGTTGTCCTTCGACTGTATTCGATACTATAATATATATTGTATAGTATATATACTAATATATATTGGTACTATATATATGATATATATAATACTAGATATATAGATATATATAATATACTATAATATACTAGATATATATAATACTATATATATGTAAAATAGTATAATATATAACTAATAAATTAGTATAATCATTAGTATAATATAAATATAATACAATAAATTAGTAGTATAATAATATAGTATAATAAATTAGTATAATATATACTAATATATATTGATACTATAATATATATGTAAAATAGTATAATATATAACTAATAAATTAGTATAATCATTAGTATAATATAAATATAATACAATAAATTAGTAGTATAATAATATAGTATAATAAATTAGTATAATATATACTAATATATATTGATACTATAATATATATGTAAAATAGTATAATATATAACTAATAAATTAGTATAATCATTAGTATAATATAAATATAATACAATAAATTAGTAGTATAATAATATAGTATAATAAATTAGTATAATATATACTAATATATATTGATACTATAATATATATGTAAAATAGTATAATATACAACTAATAAATTAGTAGTATAATAATATAAACTAGTATAATAATGTAGTATAATAAATTAGTATAATATATACTAATATGTATTGATACTATAATATATATGCATCCGATACTACAATTATATATTTCGTTACTATAATATTCGAACTCGGACGAACTCAGGATTTTCGCCAAATTTTTAAACGAACATGTACATTGTTCGACCTTTTGAAATGCATAGAAACGTTATTGGCGTCCGCTTCCTACCGTCAATTTATATTGTTGATCGCGGTATCCCGCAGATATTTATGCTCGGCGCATAAATATTCTGATCCATGAATAAGGAGACGAAATCGATAAATATGTAACAGAGGTGTGTAATCGCCTGTTCTATTAAATGACTGTGTGTTCGCGGGGAAACGTTATTACGCTATTAGATGGAGCTCGTCAGATAACGCTGTAATACATTTTGTTTAAACAAATACCGAATTTTTTTCGCTGGGATCTCAACTTTACAGCACTACGGTCAATTCTCTCTAAATCGATGCTCAGATTTTACAGAAAAATGAACAATTTGGGAAGCGGAGATTCACAATTATTCGAGCTTCGCGGCTCGTTCTCGTATTTCTATATTTTTATGCTCGATTGTCGATAACTATGAAAACGAGCCGCGAGATATATTTATAATACTATAGTATTATATTTATAATTAAGATATATTTATAATACTATAGTAAAAACGCAATAATCGTATCTCCTTTTCCGAAATCGTCCATTTTTGTGCACAATTCGAGGGTCAATTAGGGAGACTTTAAGCTGTACCTCGTGCAACAGTCGATATTTCAGCGTATTTTATAACTACGTTTGTTTACAGGCATATACACTATGCGCATGTTGGACAATGGCAGCAACAATGCTTCTGGTCCAACGGGAGCAACGGCCCTGTCAGCAGTTCAGACAACCGGCGGTGGTACGACCTCTTCGGCAACAGGCGTTACAACACTTCCGGGTGTGACAGACGAAAGAATGGATGCATCCAGCGATAGCGCAGTGAGCAGCATGGGCAGCGAACGAGTACCATCCCTCTCGGATGGCGAATGGATGGAAACTGGATCTAATTCTAGCCACACGCAGGCTGATTCCCATTATTCTATGGACTATGCTAGGTGATGAAACTGTTCCGTTTAAGACGGCCCCGTCGAATTAACGTTGATCCTCCACCAATGCACGGATCGAAAGAGATTCCCACTGGTGCAATGTGACTCTCTCGATCTCTTTTCTCTACGGTTTTGTTAATAACGCGCGACTCTTTCGCCATTATTAGACTGCGAACTTCTATGCAAAATATAAATTGTTTGTATTAAGTGCGAGATAACGAAAGTTAGAAACAAACGCTTATTTCTTCTTATAGGATATCTTGTAGAATATAATTGTTTCTTCTTATAGAATATTTCTTCTTATAGAGAGAGAATATATCTTATAGAATATAATTATTTATTCTTATAGAGAATATATCTTATAGAATATAATTATTTATTCTTATAGAGAATATCTTATAGAATATAATTATTTATTCTTATAGAATATCTTATAGAATATAATTATTTATTCTTATAGAATATCTTATAGAATATAATTATTTCCTCTTATAGAGAGAGAGAGAATATATCTTATAGAATATAATTATTTATTCTTATAGAGAATATCTTATAGAATATAATTATTTATTCTTATAGAATATCTTATAGAATATAATTATTTCCTCTTATAGAGAGAGAGAGAATATATCTTATAGAATATAATTATTTATTCTTATAGAGAATATCTTATAGAATATAATTATTTATTCTTATAGAATATCTTATAGAATATAATTATTTATTCTTATAGAATATCTTATAGAATATAATTATTTCCTCTTATAGAGAGAGAGAGAATATATCTTATAGAATATAATTATTTATTCTTATAGAGAATATCTTATAGAATATAATTATTTATTCTTATAGAATATCTTATAGAATATAATTATTTATTCTTATAGAATATCTTATAGAATATAATTATTTCCTCTTATAGAGAGAGAGAGAATATATCTTATAGAATATAATTATTTATTCTTATAGAGAATATCTTATAGAATATAATTATTTATTCTTATAGAATATCTTATAGAATATAATTATTTATTCTTATAGAATATCTTATAGAATATAATTATTTCCTCTTATAGAGAGAGAGAGAATATATCTTATAGAATATAATTATTTATTCTTATAGAGAATATCTTATAGAATATAATTATTTATTCTTATAGAATATCTTATAGAATATAATTATTTATTCTTATAGAATATCTTATAGAATATAATTATTTCCTCTTATAGAGAGAGAGAGAATATATCTTATAGAATATAATTATTTATTCTTATAGAGAATATCTTATAGAATATAATTATTTATTCTTATAGAATATCTTATAGAATATAATTATTTCTTCTTATAGAGAGAATATCTTATAGAATATAATTATTTCTTCTTATAGAGAGAGAATATCTTATAGAATATAATTATTTCTTCTTATAGAGAACATCTTATAGAATATAATTATTTCTTCTTATAGAGAATATCTTATAGAATATAGTTATTTATTCTTATAGAGAGAGAATATTTCTTCTTATATCAATCTTATATAATAATTTCGGTGAATTGATACACCGTTTTCCATCTAACGTAATCATTTTCATCGTAAACGCGTATAGTCTGCAGTTTAGTCGTTATTACCTTGTTGCACGAGGGAAAGAGGAAAATTTGTTTAATATGTGACGAAACATCCGAGGAAGATCGTACAGATCGAACCAATGCTGATTTTTTTTTACATAAACGCATCCATGCATCGAAAGATTAACAGTAGAACTATTATATATATTAATAGTAGAACTATTATGTTCAATTTATAAGAAGTTCCTGCATTATTTATTATCATTTTTCGTAGAATTAATCGTGTCGATAAATGCATAGGGACCTAAGGGGTTGTCGAATCTTTCCTTCTGAGAAAATCAAGGAAATGGTCAAATGAAAAATGACTCGAACGGTAATAACTAAATATAAACTGAGAGAGAGAGAGAGAGAGAGAAAGAGAGAGAGAATTCTTGAGATAAATTGTGTTGTATTCGTGACTTTGCACGAATTGCAAATTGCATCGTATAATCCGCCGCGGAAACGCGTTTCAGCAGGAAGTAGAAATGCATTTTAAGAACTCAATTATGAGTCACTGCAAGTGTGTACAACTGCGATTAACAAGAACGACGTTTCACGACATTTTTCGAAATGATGCATTGCATTATAAGCAAACATTGGAAACGTCTCTGATGCGTAAACGCACAAAGTTCTTTACTTTCCTTTACTATTAACCCTTTGCACTCGAGTGGCGACTCAGAGGCACCACTGAAATTCGTCACATCACGTTTCAAGATAATTTCTATATTAACAAAGTTTAGATTAAAACAAAATTGTTAAGAGCGTAACTGTAGCGCGAGTCCCAAGAGTCAATTTCATACGCATAAAATGCGTTTTATCGTATAAAATAAAAATGCTACAAGTTAGAAAAATTATTTTATATTTACAGTTGAAATAGCTTCGAGTGCAAAGGGTTGAGCCTTCTTTAATTCGACAAGAATCACTTGGAATAAAAAGAGTCGGATCAAATTACCAAACACGATCAGAGGAGAAAAATATCATTGTCGAATCTGAGAACAGTATTTTCAGAGGATTGAACGTGTAAAAAGAGCCGTTTATTTTGAAAGTGGCATAAGTCACTTTTTTAAAAAAATCGAGTTAATGGTAACACTAATTACAATTGACCGGTATCTTTTCATTTAAAAAAAAAAAGAAAAAAGTGACTTATGCCACTTTCAAAATAAACGGCTCAAATATGAATAGCTGTTTAGTGTCAGCAACAAAGATCGTTCCTTTTTCGTTGCAGCAAATACCGAATGTCCTACGACTGCAGCTACTCCGTTTCCGGACGAAATGGCGGTTCCCCGAGATGCCAAACGGAACGCACCATGCCTCCGGTTGCCCAGAAGAAGCACCAAATGTTCGCGAAACGATATTTCCAAGAACAAGGTACCAAGCATAAGCATAGTAAATATTGAACGAACGGCGCAAACAACATTGTTTACAGAGAAATGTTGATACACGATTTCATTCAACGTGTTCATTTCAGGATCGCCACTCGGAGCCACAGCGCATCCGACTACCCCGATGAAATATGAATACGACACGCATACAGTCGGCGCTGGTGCACCAGGAAATGCATACTCGGGGCCAATCGAGGGTGCAACCGGACCGCAGCCCGAAATGAAGTACAGCTGCAGCGTGGACTTCAGTCGGCATCAATCAGGTAAAATAATTCATTGCGCTGTTTTCGCTTTAACACGTTCACTGGCGTGATCTTGTTTCGTAACTCATCTTGATCGCCGAAGTGCGATCCACCTTTACTAATTAAACATTATAGTAATATAGTAAATATATAGTAATAATATATAGTAATATATAATAATATAATATTTATTTATTATTATATATATATTATTATTATATTAATATATATATTAATAATACTATAATTTATATAATTAATATATTAATATAATTAATAATACTATAATCAATACTATATATTATTATTAATATATAGTAATATAGTAATACAGTAATCAAGTTATCTTGCATCGTATAATCTATCAATTATTAAGTTAATTACTTAAACGAAAATTGATGAGCTTCTTTTAATAATAACATAATCGTT